ATCGAGTCGTCGAGCAACGCATCGAGCGCGAACAACTGCTCCTTGTTTCTCGGCTTGATGCTCCAGACCGGGTTGCGCTGCGAGGAGACCGGCGTGAAGCGCGCGGTGCGTCCCTCATCATCGGTCTCGGAGACGCGCGCGAACGTGGTCTGGTTCCCCTCCTGACCGCGCAGCAAGGCGTAGCCATTGAGGTAGAGGCGCTCGACGTTGTGGTAGGAGATCTCACCCTTCTCGTAGACCTCGGTCAACGCCTCGTGCTCGTCGAGCGAGACCTCGAGGCTGCCTTCCTTGTGCAGTTCGTCGATGAGGCTATTGGGAACGGTCAGCTCACAGGTCCCCGCGTAGACCTCGCCGAGTGAGACCGAACGCTCCTCGTAATTGACCGCCTCCAGGCCGAGCGCATCCGCGCGCAGCCTGAGGTTGGTGTCCTTGGTCAACAGGATCGTGGGGCGCTCGGGGGTGGACTCCTTGGCGTTCAATGCGACGCGCAAGATCAGGTTGTCCTTCTGATCGCTGCCGAGCAGATCCGCGAAGTCCGGGTCCTTGACCGATGTGTTCAGGCTCACTCGAAGCAAGCCACCATCGGGGAGCTCGACCCCCTCGCCGAGGTTGCCTTGCTCCCGGAAGCGATCGAGCAGGCGGCTGATTTCGCGCGCGTTGCGACCGAGCTCGGACATGTCCCGCTTGAACGTGTCGATCTCTTCGATGACATAGATCGGGATGATCACGTCATTGTCCTCGAACTTGAGGATCGCGCCAGGATCGTGAAGCAGGACGTTTGTGTCGAAGACGAAATTCTTTCGCATGATGTATAAGCGTGTGGGATGGTCGAACCCGTTTGGGGGGCTCGAGGTGCATGGGAAGATGCCTTCCTCGAAAGTGAGGAGAGGTCACTTGGAACCATTGGAGGTCGGCAACTCTGCCCCACCCCACGACTTTTCGCAAGCTCGCTTCTTCCTGCACACTTCGAGGACAAAACCACGACTCACTCCATGGCAGCTTCGCGCTGTCATGACCGATTCTTAACCGTTTCCCTTATGTGGTTCGCGCGATGAAATCTGCTCTCTCGCTTCTGACTTTTGCCTCGATATTGCTCTCCGGCTCGCTCGCCGCAGCGGTGGAACCTCCACCCGAAGATACGCCGATCGAGAGCGAGGATCGCTACTTCTCCTTCTCGCCCATCACCAACGTCGGCTTCTCGAGCTACGTGAAGAGCTTTGGAGAGGAGCGCGCGCAAGGCTTTATCACCCCCATCCCGATGCTGACGTATTGGGGAGGTAAGTTTCACGGACATCTGGAGAACCATGTGCTCGCGGTCCCCATCGGCGCGCTCATCGATCGCGCTCGCGTCGGCGATGTCGATGGCCCCACCGCAGATCTGGTGCCGTTGTTCGAAGCGGAGGCCGCCTACGTCTTCGCCAAACGAAACCTCGCGCTCGGCGGACACACACACGCCATCCTCGACAACCGCTATAACAGCTTCCTGCCCGCCGTGGAGCTCGCCCTCGGGCCAAGCTTATCTGGCTTTGATCCCGACCTGTTTGGCAACCCCGCGCTGCGGCTCGACTGGATGACCACCGTCGGTTGGAACAGCTTCTACGTTTCCGGCGGAGGTCGCGCAGGGATCACCTGGCAGCGTCAGGACTCCGTCCTCGCACTCTTCTCCAACGTCACCGCCTACGCGCGCCTGAACGAGCCCGATGTCTACTTCCAGGTCGTCGGTGGCTTGAAGATCGTCCTGCCAAAACGCTCGTGACATCGCTAACGCTCTGACGCCGTTGCTCGCCAAAACGCATCGGATGCTCACAGGGCAAAGCTCGCCGGTGCAATGGCGCGACCGCATCCTCGCGCGAATCGAGGATGTGCTCGTCATTCAAGCTCGCTGTGTATGGCCGCGGCGCCAACCTCTCGGTGCCGAGCGAAAAAAGGGGCGCGGGGTTTTCCAGTCGATCGAAACATCAAACGGTCTGGAAAACCCCGCGCCCCTTTTTTCGCGCGCCGCTTCGGCGCGATTCAGATAACCGGCATCACTTCGCGGGCATGGTGTCGTAGACCGTGACGCGGTTTCGACCATTCTTCTTGGAGTGATAGAGCGCCTGGTCAGCGAGCTCGATAAGCTCGGAGGTGTCCTCGTGGTCAGACGGCCAGATGGCGATCCCCATCGAGATGGTGCACTGGAAGGGACCCTTGTCGGACTGGAAGGTGAGCTCGCTGACCGCCTCACGCACGCGATTGGCAAGGATCTCACACCCCTTCATATCGGTCTCCTCGAGCAGGATGATAAACTCCTCACCGCCGTAGCGCGCGGGCATGTCCGTCTCGCGCAGCGTCTCGCGGAAAGCGCTGGCGACCTGGCGAAGCACCTCGTCGCCGACCGGGTGACCGTAGGTGTCGTTGACCGACTTGAAGTGATCGATGTCCGAGAGGATCAGCCCGAAGGTGCCGCCCGAGCGACGGTGGCGCGCGACGGCCTCCTCGATGCGTCCCATAAACGTGCGGCGGTTTGGCAACCCGGTCAGCGCATCGCGCGTGGCCATACGCTCCATGCACGCGTAGAGGTTTGCCGACTGCAAGCTGACGGCGACCTGGTTGCTGACCACCTCGAGCATCTCGCGGCGCTCGGTCGTGTAGCGATTCGCCTCGCGGTGTCCCACGACGAGCGTCCCGAGGACCTTGTCCTGCGCGATCAGGGGGAGCACCAACATCGAACGCATCCCGCTGATGCGCTGCTTCTTGCCAAAGACCACCGGCGCCCCGTCACGAACATGCCCGCCGTAAGGCAAGTAGTGCCTGTTCTTGACGACCATCGAGACCCAACCTCCGTTGGCCTCGAACTCCTGACCGACCCAATCCGCCACGCCGAGGTTCCAGTCCGGCGAGGTCTCGACCTGGGTGATGGTATGAACCTCGGTCTCGGGGTCAAAGGTGGTGAAGGCGGCCAGATCGAACGGCGTGATCTCACCGATGCTCATGAGCGCCTCGCGCCAGACATCCTCGGGCGTGAGCACACCGTTAAGGCGGCGCGAAGCCTCGAAGAAGCGGCCGAGCTCGTACTTGCTCTTTTCGATGGAGACAAAGAGGCGCTCGTTCTGCACCGCGCGCAGGATGTAGGCCGCGGCCTCCTCGAGCATATCCACATCCTGTGCGTCGAAGGGCCTCGAGTCGAGCCTGTCCACACACAGAATACCGCGAAGGTGCCCGTGCTCGATGACGGGCACGCCGAGGAAGTTCTTGACCCCTTCCGCCTCACGGTAATACGAGAGCCCGCGATAGCCGGACTTCAAATCGCGCAGGTTCACGGGCTCGCGTCGCCTCGAGACACCTCCGATGGCTCCACGCATCGGCTCGATGCTCCCCTCGATGAGGTTATCCGAATCACTGACGAGCTCCTTGATATGGAGCGAATCATTGCGCCCATCGAACCAGAGCAGCACGCAGGTGTGCGCGCCGAGCGCGGTCTTGAGCAGGCGCAGGCTGACATAGGTCGAGTGGTGCACGGCCTCGACGGCGTCGGTCATGATGAGCTCTTCGGCGCGCTCGCGGTTCGCGGCCGCGGCCTCCCAGACCTTGCCGGAGTGAATCAATCGGAACTGGCGCGCTTCCTTGAGCAGGTTCTCGCGCTCCTGAGTGATTTCGTGTTGGTAGCGCTGCCTGCGCTCGAGCAACTCGGCGCCATGAACGAGGTGTGCGAGCCCGCCAAAGAGCAGGAAGCATCCACCGCGCACGCCGACCTGCCAGAGATCGACCTGAGCCAGTTGTGGTGTGAGGAGCTCGATCTTCTGGGTGGCGCCAAAGGAGGTGCCAAAGAACTGCGCGGCGCCTTCGAGCGCGATGGCGAGCACGACGAGCGCCACGCCAGCGGCGCGCGAGGTCAGCGCCACGAGCAGCGCGAGCGTGAAGTAGAGGACCGGGTAGAGCTCGGCGCCGACACCCTGGAGCGCGCGGACGAGCACGAACGCGGTCACGAGCACGAGCGACGCGATGGCGATCTCGACCGCGCGGGAGAGCTGCCCCTCGCGCATCGCCCAGACGCGCCAGACCTGGCTGCCAGCGAACGTGATCAGCACGGACGCGGCCAGAGCGTTGATAAACCAGGGCATCGCAGGATGTCCGATCACGCCCAGGACAAAGAGCACGGCGCCGACCGAGGCGACCCCGATGGCGACGGAAGCGTCCTGATAACGAGGTTGTTGAAGGCTGCGCGTGCTTGCGGACATGGCTCCTCCGTGAGCGCTGGCTGTTCGCGTACTGACCCGTGAAAAGGGTGTGCTATCTGCTTATTCGGGCGATCCGACGTAGGTCACGTTCTCGAGCGGTGAGCTCTCGACCATGTCCTGGATCCTCTGTCTGGCGATCGGCCCGAGCGCGTCGTCGAAGCGAACCTCGAGCGCGGCGTTGGGGATGTTGTGTTGCAGCGTCCCCAGCTCTTTCTGCAACTTATCGAGGGCGACGTCGCGGCCAGCGAGCGAGATCTTTTTGGGGCTGACATCGAGCGAGACCTGAACCGCCTTGGGCGCCTCGGGCTTGTCGAACTTGAAGATGAGCTCGTGGGGTTTGGCCAGCCCCGCGCTCTCTCTGGCGCGGCGCTCGGCGAGCCTGGGATCATCGCGCAACGCGAGGATCTTCCGCTCGAGCCCCTGGTTCTGGACGCGCATCGACTCGTTCTGCGACTCGAGCTGACCGAGCTCGCCGCGCAAGCGTCCGACCTCCTCACGATTCGGGTGCGTGAGGGTGTAATACGCGATCGACGAGATCAACGTGATCGCCATCAATGTCAGTATGAGGTGCTTCATTCAAGAACCCGCCCCACCCCGCGCGGTGTGTACGCGAGGTGCATCTCCATGGTCCTCCCAGCAACGCACGATCCGTCCATGGTTCAGCGCGCGCGAAAGCAATGTTTCGCGGGGGAGTGCCTCCAGGACAGAGACTAACACGTGATCATGAGGAGGCAAGAAAAAGCGTGGGCGCTTCTCGCGAGAATGATCTCTGGAAAGGGGCGCTCAGGGCTCTGGCGCCTTGGGGCTCGAGACGACGAGGTCGACGCGCTTGAAGCCGATCGATTTGACGACGCTGAGCAATTGAATGACGCGACCGTGTGATGCGGCCTGATCACCGCGCAGTAGGATTTGCGCGTTGGGATCTTTCTTGTGCAGATCGAGCAACTTCTCCTCGATGGAGCCGCCGCTGAGTTCAGGTCCGCCCTCGATCACCACATCCCCCTCGTCGTTGACGGTGAGGGTGAGGGGATCGCCTTTGACATCCTCGGAGCCGCTCGATGCCTCGGGGAGCTCGATCGGGATCGCGGACTCACGCGCGCTCGCCTGGCTCGCTTGCTGGATGGTCGAGGTGAGCAGGAAGAAGATCAGGAGCAGGAAGACGACATCGATGAGCGGCGTCAGCTCGATGGTCGCCTCTTCCCTTCGCCGGTTACCGCGCAGGTTCATGAGGACGCCTCCGCGGCGGAGAGTCCTTTGACATCCTCCTCGTCCTCTTCATCATCGGCGTCTTCATCCGCGTCGCTGACATCCTTCGCGTCGGCGCGTTTTTCCTCGCGATCCACGGGCGCCTGACCGTTGGGGACGAGCATCTCGACGGCGCGCAGGCCGACGTCCTCGATCTCGATGGCGTAGCGATCGACGCGGCTCAGGACATAGCGGTAGGCGAGGTAGACGGGGATGGCGACGGTGAGCCCGGCGGCGGTGGTCATGAGCGCCTGCCAGATCCCTTCGGCGAGCAGGCCGACGTCGACCATGCTCTGGGACTCCTGAGCGGCGCCGACGACGCGCTGGAACATGCGGATCATGCCGATGACGGTGCCGAGCAAGCCGAGCAGTGGCGCGATCGTGGCGATGGAGCCGAGCGCGTTGGTGAAGCGCTCCATGAAGTAGATCTCACGGCGCCCGGTCTCTTCCATGACCTCCTTGATGAGCTCGCGATCCTGCCCGGCGTAGCGAATCCCCGCGCCGAGCACGGCGGCGACCGGCGACTCGTTCTGGTGGCAGAGCGCCTCGGCGTCGGCGAAGCGCCCCTCCTGGAGCAGCCTGGAGACAACCTCCAGAAAGCGCGCCGGAAGGATCTTCGTGCGCTGGAGGTGCCAGAGGCGCTCGAGAAAGATGGCGAGGCCAATGATGGAGCAGGTGATGATCGGAATCATCAGCCAGCCACCTTTGGAGATCAATGCGAAGACTTCAGTCATCTACTTCCTGCTTTCATCCACGAACTCGAGACAGCCTCTCACGAGAGGTCTTCTGGATCAAAGATGCACGCAAACACACTTTGCTCCAGACGCAAACCAATTTCCTTTAACGACCACCATCGCCGAGCGGCGCGTGCGGCAGCTCCTTTTCGGCGCTGGATTCCTGCCCCATGGCGACAAAGAACGGGTACTCCTCGCGCGCTTCGAAGTAACCGATCACCTCGCCGGGCGCCAGTTCATTGGTCTCGCAATAGCGCGCGAACTCCTGGCCGAGCCTGGCGAGGTGGACGCGAATCCTGGCGCGCACGAAGTAGAGCGTCACGAGGAAGAGCAGCACCGCGAGCACCCAGGGCGTGGGCGTGAGCAACCTGGAAAACCACCACCCCAGGCCGATCGGTATGGCCGCGGCGATAAAGGCGATGCTGCCGCCGCGCGAGTACACCTTTTGAGCGCGCAGGTTGTACTCGCGCGCGATGGCGCGGTGCGCATCGAGGGCGCCGGGCGCCGGCTTCTCGAGCGCGTCTTGTTCCGCGTTCTCTTGGTCGTCGAACGAATCGTTCATCGTGCAGAGACATCCTTACTAAATGAGTGGGGCGCCGGGCAAAGATGGCGAATCCCCTCGAAACCATCGCGGGCGGCCCGTGCTCGCCCGGCGTTTGACAAGGCATCCTGCATCCGAGACGCCAGGCATGCAAGCACGCGCGAACAAAACCAAGGGAGCAACACATGAACGCGCAAAGGCAATCCCGAGGCGGCTGGCGCCTTGACCGATCATAGGCGGACTCTGTAGCATAACAGGGGTTGGCGTGGTCGCGCGGATCCCTCGAAAAATACAGGGCCCCAAAGATCTCACCCCCAATAAAATTCACGTTTTGGGAGCGGGGGCAGTTTTGCTTAAACGCATTGTGATGTTGGTTCGAGGAACATACTGAACGATCACGCATGTTTGTCCGCATGATCGCGCGACGGTGAAGGAACGCACGGAAGAATTTGGCAGGGATAATTGATCTAATGATGACGGGTTCCCCTGCCCTTACCCAAATGATCTGACATGTTTTGAGGAAGTTCCATGACCACCTCCAACGGCTCGAAAAAAGCCACGCTTGTCAACGAACTCTCGGACTATCTCGAGAACGCTGGCGCGCGCATCGAGCGCAGTGACCAGTTTCAAGAGCAGTACGGGCTCGATTTTTCGGTCACGCGCTTCGAGCACGTCTATGCACACGTCAACCTCGGCGTGCACATCACGACAAAGCTCGACAAGCTCGAGGAGCTCGACGCCTTCGTCCAGGTCGCCAAGCGCGGCATCGCGCTCAAAGCGATCTACATCGAGGTCGACGCCGAGACCATCGACGCAGGTGGCCTGCTCGTGGCGTTCGGAGCGTGCCTCTCCTACCTGTTCGACCGTCGCTACAGCCAGGTCCGCTCGATCGGTATCCGCATCTTCCAGGATTGCTCGTTCCACTTCTTCGACCTCGAAGAGTCGATCGAGCGCTTGCAGAGGATCTCGCTCGACGAGGATCTCCAGATCGGAGAAGACCTCGACGGTCGCATCATCGCCTACTTCACCGACAAGGGCTTTGGCTTCATCCAGACCGATGATGACCGCAAGTTCTTCTTCCACATCGCCAACATCGTCGATGACGAGCTGCGCAGCCGCCTCCCCTCTTATGTCCCCGGCGAGATCATCCCGGTCGACTTCCAGTACGGCGGCAACGACGGCAAGAAGTACCCCAAGGCGATCAACGTCTCCTTCCCTCAGGACTGAGCGCCGCTCACCACCGCCCGGTGCGATACTCCGAGCTGAAGTCCTCGCACTCGCGCGTGAACGGCGTGTTGATCACCACCTTTTTACTCGATCGCGCGCCGATATTGACCGGCTTCGATGAAGCCGTCCGCGTCCCTCCACCCTTTAAATAACAACGCAACTCGAGCACGACCCCGCTCACACTGCGCGGGGCGTTGTTCTTGATGGTGACCTGGTAGTTCCAGTCGCGCGAGCGCTTCTTGCGATCCTTCGACATCGTCGTAAAGCCCTGCATCTTTGTCGTGAGCCATGGCCTGATGTCGGCGATGCGTTCCTCGTGTCCCATGCTCGGGTAGAGCTCGACGACCCCCTCCGCGTCATTCATCCGCACGCTGTAGCGGCCGAGCACGTTCATCCCCAACAACCCCACGATGGGACGCTTCTGCCCGGCGAGCTTGCCTCCGCACGACACGCACGTGGTGAAGGTCACGTTGCTCAGGTTCTTGCCACCGAGCGCCAACGTCGAGATCATCCCCACGCGCGCCTCGCGCAGACCGTTCGCGGTCTTGGTGGTGATCGTCGGGTTCTTGCTGCCAGGAGCAGCGCCGACGGCGCTGGCGAATGCTGGCGTCAACGTCGTGATCGATGCTCCCGTGTCAAAGTGAAAGTACACGGGCTTCCCGTTGACCTTGGCCTCGACAAAGATGGCGCCGCCACGTCGCACGAACTTGAGCTTTGTGCCCGCGCCAGGCTTACCGGCGTTGGCGGCAAGCGACGAGCTCATCCCCCCGCTGGCGCTCTCGATCTGGAGACCTCCCGAATCACCGACGTCCTCGCCCTCGAACAGATCCACGCCTTGCGCGCTCCCCGCTCCCGGCCACGCCAAGAGCGCGAGCAGAGCACATCCAGACCACAGCTTCATCGAGCGCATCTTGCCAACCTTCATACCGAGCACCTCTCGTGCGTTTGTCATCGTGACGATGAGAATAACATACCGCATTCGAGACCGAGAGGAACGATCAGTCGCCCTCCCCTTGTCGAATCGCTTCTTTTCAAGCAACATACCCAGCGTTCGCAGTCCTCGCCAAAGCGCTCAGGGACGAGCCACCTCCAAACCGTGCACGCCAGCAAGAAAGCATGGAGCAGCCTGTGCATCAGACCACCTCTCTTGATCGTTACGCCCTGAGCGCGCTCGTCGCGACGCTGCTCGTGTTCGCGAGCGTGGGGATGGCGACCGCTGGTGAACCAGATAAGAGCAAGGACAAGGCTAAAAAAGCACCACCGAGCGTCGAGAAGATCTTCGAGGCAGCTGGCATCGGCGCGACGGAAGGATGCCTCGATCTGGCGACCCCATCGCAGCTGCGCGAACACCGCGAGCGCTGGAGCCACGCCATCGACTCGCTCGCCGAGCACCACCCGACGACTCTTCACGACTGGATCGTCGGCGCGGATAAACCCCCGAAGCTCGTCCTCGAAGAGACCATCCGCCAACGCGATTGCATGCTCGGCGCGATGCTCGAAGAGGCCGCATCTTCGGACTCGAACCTGTTGCTCGACCTGGAGGACGCCGCGCCCACGAAGCGCTCGATGGCCAAGTGGGCAAAGCGCCACCGCGAGAGCGCCTCGACGCGCCGCACCGTCGCACGCCGCGTCGACAAGTCTCACTACCGAGACGCCGCGGGTCAGGCGTTTATCTGGTACCGCAAGTTCAACTTCACCCATCCTCGAAACTTCAACCTCATCTCGGCCGATGCCGCCGAAAAATGCGGGCTGACCGAGGGGAACAGTTGGCGCCCTGGCAGCAGCTACCACCAGAAGTGCTGGAAGAAGATGTTGAGCGCTGACGAGCGCCAGCGCGAGATCCTCACCGCATCGAGCGCGCCAGGGATCTCCCGCCATCACTGGGGCACCGAGTTCGATCTCTTTGGCCTCAACCCCAGACACTTTGTCACAGGACAACGCCTCCATGACGAGTGGTACTGGATGCAAACGCGCGGGATCGAGCACGGCTTCTTCCAACCCTTCCTGGGCAACGCCGCGCTCGGCAAACACACCTACATCGAGGAGCGCTGGCACTGGTCTTACTACCCCGTGGCGCGCGCTCTCTCGCTCTACATTCGCGATAACGAAGACGCGGTCGGCGCCGCGCTCAACGCGCAATGGGATCGCTTCGAGACACGCTGGATGGGCAAGAAACGCTCGGGCGATCCATACTTCTCTTACGTCCGCGCGCACTGGCGCGATTACATGTTCAACATCGCCGAGGTCGAGCTCGCCAGCATCCCCTGGTTAAGCCCCTCATCGCTCGCGTTCCTGATCCTGCTCGTCTGAGCTCGAAACCGATCCTTGCCCGCGCGCATCATCGTAGAGAGCAAACGCTCACCCTTTATGACCACGAAAGGAGAGCTCGTATGCGCTTTCTCGGCATGCTCGCCATGACACTCCTTGTCACATCCTCGCTCGTCGGCTGCTCGCCGCGCGCCAAAACGCTCGATAGCCCGCTCGTGAGTGATCTCGAGAAGGGGCGCGCGAGCGGCGACGCCTCATTCGATCACGCTCCGTTTGGCGCACTCCTCAAGAAGTACGTCAGCGAGGACGCCGGAAAGGTCGACTACGCGGGCTTGAAGAAAGACAGGGCGGCGCTCGACGCCTACCTCGAGAGCATCGCCAGGGTCGACGCCAAGACGCTCGACACGAGCGAGCAAAAAGCGCTCCTGATCAACGCCTACAACGCCTATACGCTCGAACTCATCCTCGAGAATTATCCCGGCGTCGAGAGCATCCGCGACCTGGATAAACCGTGGGATAGCTCGCGCTATAAGGTCGCCGGATACACGCTCAGCCTGAATGATATCGAGCACGGATTGTTGCGGCCGATTTACAAGGACCCTCGCATTCACTTCGTCGTCAACTGCGCCTCGATCGGCTGCCCTGCCCTGCGCGCGACACACTACAGCGGGGCTGACGAAGAGCTCGAAAAACAACTCGAGGACGCGACGAAGAGCACGTTAAACAACCCACGCTACGTCTCCATCCGAGGAGACGAGGTCGCCGTCACAAAGATCTTGAAGTGGTACGGCGAAGACTTCACCGACAGCAGCTTCCAGGGGCACGCCGAGAGCGTGCTCGCCTACATCGCCAGATACAACGACGTGGTCGCAAAAAAAGTCGAGGAAGGTGACCCTGAGATCACCTTCCTCGACTACAACTGGAAACTCAATGACACCGGCTCAGAGTAACGCGCTCACTCCTCTTCGCTCCTGACATCCTCATCATCTGCATCTATAGCCTCAGCGTTTGCTTCTGCAGGGCTTGCTGGAGACGGCTTCGGTTCTGCCGAAGCCGCAGGCTCGGAGGCAACGCCAACGCCATCTCCTTCCTCGGTGTCGCTTGCTCCAGTCACGACCTCTTCACCGCTCTCACCGACATGACCGTCCGTATCCGTGACGCGCGTGGCGCCAGGCGTCGAAGGTCCCTGGTTCTGAGGACGAGGTCCCTGCGGACGCTGAGGCGGCGCGGGAGGCTCTGGAGGACGCATCACGAAGCGCTCCTTGCTAAAGCAACGCCACGCCCAGGGGAGCCACCTGACCACGTTGGCCACGAGCCAGAGCGCCCAGGCGAGCATCGCGCCGCGCCAGACCAGGAGCGGAACCGAGAGGACGCCTGGCTCGGGGAGCGGGCCCTCGACGCGATCGGTGTACCAGTTGAGCATGTGATTGCTCGACTCCATACCGCGCACCTGCATATCCACATCGAACAGCAGGTTCGTATGCACGGCAGCGTACAGCGTCCCCAACGCGATAAAGGTCATGCCG